CTCTATTCGCGTGCCAAGTTTGAAAACCTTAGCACGTTCCGTTAGCCGTACAGATTCATTCTTGCAAAGGTTAATGCAGTAGGCGAGTCACAAAATCACATTGGCCAAAAAACAAATAGCAATGTTAGACCGTTTATATTCACCTGACTCGCTGTTCTCTACGCCCGAAATGCAAAATCCCACTGAAAGGGACGATGACATTCCAGCCATCCAAACGGCCGTGAAGAATCCTCGCGGGAATTCTGAAAGCAGACCTGCAAATTCTATCCGTGCGTTGGTAGGCTGTGCCCGATGCTGCGTCGATGCCAAAGACGCACTTGAAATAAAGTGCGTGATTTTTACACGACGCTTGAATACACGTAATGTTATTCCAATTATTTCTCAGCTTTAAGGGTTCAGTTGTTAGACATTTCTAAATGCAGCCGAGTAGAAAGTCATACGCAACATTGCGCTTGTGCATTTCAAGGTTGAGTGGACCAGCATAAGCAAGTATTTCGTTATCTTTCCTATTTGAACTTTTTTACTTGCAGATAGGCTCGTGATTCAGGTACACGGCAGCTTGGCTCTAGCATGTTCCACCTGGCGCATTTTTATGGAAATACGCTAGGTGGAAATACATTATGATATAAACAGGTATATAACGATAAAAATGGAAAGATATCGTGATAAGATAAGGGAGAAACAAGTAAGCATACGAGATACGAGTGCATCGAATACAGTCGTTTTCAAATTTGACTACAAATTTTTGTTACCGATCCGAAAACGACTCTCAATGAAAATATGTAAATAACAATGGTTTTCGCGTGAAATTTACCGTTGGTGACACATCGTAACACGCCATCGTTGGCAACGATGCTGTTATCTCGTCGCGCCGCACCGTGCTGCGCCGAGGCTAAAGACCTCGACACACCTGTACGCGAGAGAGCTTGGACGACAAATGCGAATGCCAGACACGAGGATAGATCGCCGAGAGTGCGGAGCGAACGTATCGAAAGTTTAAGACAACTCTGAGCGACGCGCGGCGTATACTGTGTAAGAAATTTGCTCAGCGTAGGAGAATAAGATTCTTTTACGCGGACACACATTTGACTGTATATTTTACGTAGTCTTTGCTTTTGGTGTAGAGATTTTTTTCATCTCAGTGTATTAATCTGAAATTTCAAGATTATTTATATGCTGTACTGATTAGCACTGAATGATTATGAAAATGATTGCGTAACGATATATTTTCGAGCGATTTCACGCGAGAAATGGTTTTGCATACCAAATTGCGGCAAGTCATTAAACAGGTGTAGAAAAACATGCATATTGAGTGCGGAAACATCAACAAAATTATACGACCACGCTTAAAACGCTGTCTCAGAGTAGCCAAAGATTAGTTTTGACGTTTCTAATGCGAGGATATTTGACATTTTTTTGTATATTTTTAAACTGCGATTTTAATCGCTGTCAAACATTCACGCTACGTTATATATATATAGATGAAAGGTCATATCAAATGTATCACTTATTATAATACTATAAGACGAATAAAAATAATTCATTACATAATATATCTGCAAAATAACGGGATTGATTTTATTCAAAGCATGTCCCTTCGGCATCGAGATAAAGCGTTGGGCACGTTCGATCAATGTATGAATATTCTGCAAGTATGTTTTTAGAATTTTCTAGAAGATCTTCATTGCGGCTGTAAATAGCTAGAATGTCATTTGATTAGAATTATTCATTTTATTAGAATGTCGTTTCATTGGAATTTTAAATTTTGGAAATAGAAAATAGTCGCCAAATTAGGTATTTATAATCGATAATCAATTCCTGTTATTTGTTTTTTGACCAAAAAATCACGTACAGCCATGGTACTCTATTTTTTATAGATATCGGTCGTTCATTTTCAAAATGGTATGAGTTAAGTTTCTAAATACATAAAGTTTCGAGATTAAAAATTCATGCGATCTCAACAATTTAACAAGTTGTAAGAAACTTATGTCGCTGATAAAATAAACGCTCAATTAATTTGTTAACTTCACGAATTAAGTTATTCGATGCTAGCGTCGATATAATTCACCGCCGACACAAGTTCGTCTTGATCAAACATCTTTAAACTCTGTCTGTATAGTTTTCCATCTACGCAACCTGCTTGTACTTATATTTAACTCATTTCCGGTCTGCGTTGCATAAACTCGTGCTTAAATGCAAAACGTTCGATTGCGATAAGATTAGAGTTTTATTCAAGAGCAATTCCTAATGAATGAGTGCTCGTATCTCAAAGCCATATTCTCTGAAAGTATTCGTCAATAGTAAAATTCAATTCACAATAAGCTTTTCAAACTTCTACATTATGAAATCTTTAAACATTCAGAATTTCTAGAGAAACGCGGTTTTTTTAAGAATTTCAAGCGATTAAATAGCACTAGATCTACAGAGATTACTCAAATGAAAAGCATCTCAACACCAGTTCAATCTAAGGCCGATTATACACAATTTTTTCTTCTTTTTTTATCGAATTTCTCATGTTTATGCTTTAAACACTTGTCTGTATCCAGTTTGAAATTTTGGAAAAAGTTTCTGCTTGCAACTGGAAACTGTTTTCTTTTTGTTTCGCATCTAGTTGTGGACTGTCAGAAGATCTTCAAAAAATCAACATTATTCGCTGGTTACGCAGTTTCGTCGGCTAGTCGGTCGCGTAAAAGCTGAAATCACGGGACACTCGCTGATCTTGGGAATCGTTAGGTTCTTAGGTCTATGGTCCAAGTTGGGATCGACAAGAACTCACGCATCTCTCTCTCTCTCTCTCTGTCTCTCGGAGAATAAAGAGGACGAGGGCGAGGGTGCCTGTAGTAGAGAAAGGAAGTGCAAGGGGTGGGCGGAGTGCAAGAAGGCTGCGGCGGAGGAAAGCGGAGAGTCAGCACGAGCAGCGGAGCGTCGATGCGAGAGAGTGTCTATTTACGAGTTGTCCGGCGCCGTGATGTCCGGAGTAAAAATACACCGTAGAGCCGCGTATACCGTGTGTGTACGCGCGCCACACAGAACCCTCTTATAAATTCTCCAACGCGCTCTTCGGCTCTCTCGGTCAGCTCGACGCGCTCCCCCCCCCCCCCCCCGCATGTTTCTGTCGCTCTCGGTGTGTTCGCCGCAGCTTGTGGAAGATCGCGGATGGGGGGAGGGGCGGAGAGGGTGGGGCGAGAGGGGGAGAAAGGGATGCGGCGCGGCGCCGCTCCTCTTCTTGGACCGCGGCCAAGAGCTCTACGGCAAGTAAGAGAGAGATTGGAGCCTACGCTCATGTCGCAGTTAGGGCGAGAAACACAATTGCGCCATCGTTATATAGGGTGTCTCTCATTCACTATGAGTCTAGGCTGTGTGATTAAATATAAGTCGATGCTTGATAAATAGCGCGCGCAATACACACGAATACATCAAATTCGGAATGCATATTATCAACAGAATTGTTCGGAAAACATTTGAGAGGAAGAAAACAATACGTAATCAATGTTTAACACAATTGATAGCATTTAACAGTATTTTTTTTTGGAGACTGTGAATTATATCTTACTAAAAATATACATTCTATAAATCATTTTTTTATAAATAAATATATATATATATAATTTATATTTTTATTTATAATTTCTATAAAATAAAATGTATCCATTAGACACGAGCGATTTGTGAATCGCTCAATCACAGTCAATAAGTTATAAGCACTTTGACATGACTTTTAACTTCAGTTTTTTTTTAATTGAAAACGACGAAAGCTGTATCCGATTAGTCTCGAGATGATTAAAGAATCGATCCGATCCATCGATTCAGCACGTTGGATTGGCGTGGTGTTTACAAACGTGTGTCCGTTGCAAGGCAGGTACGCGTCACGCGCAGGTACGCGTATAGCCCGGTGTGTGGGTGCAGAAATATAATCGCGCAATGACGTCATGCATACGCGTGTTGTACAAAACAGACTTGCTCTTGTTTTTTTTTCGCAATTTTCCGAATTGTGGCGAATTCATCATTGCGGCGAAAAGGAAAAGTTTCTTTATAAGTGCTACTTCTCATTTATGTTCAGCGAATCGTGCACTCCTAATAGAGTCAGAAAAATAATCTTTGTTATATTATTTCATAGTAAATTAACTTAAACGATAGGACGAAAAAATTAACAATTGAACGATAAGTTATCAAATAATAATTTAGAAGAAGAATCGTCGAGTTGCTTGAATGAGATCGAGTGAACTTGAGATTGTATTATTATAGAATTACTTTACATTGCAAATTTTAATTTAAGTAATAATATTTATCTGTGATACACATGTAATTATAATGTACGTGATATATTTTTGTTAAAATAAAAAATTATTCTTTATTTCTCGAGTAAGATGTTATTCGTCATTATATATAAATTTGCTTAATCCGGCGATAAAACACGTATAAAAAACCTGCAATCTACTTTTATTTCCACAACGTATCAAACGTTCCTGCGAATTATCGTAAGCGTTTCACGCGTGTATGTAATAAAAAATTAGCAGAATTAAAAGACCGTCTTTATTTCGGGTGTTAAAACCTACGCTCTAGCCCACATCGCCTCATTGCTTCGCCTCGATCTTTTGAATGGAAGTATTTTTAGCGCACGCCTACTATATGTGGACAACTGTACGCGCCGCGCCGCGTATTTAGTTTCCGTGGATCGTGCGGTTTAAATCGAATGCATCAATGTTTCCGATGCGACGTCGTGCGGAAATTAAAATTCGCACACTTACATTCTTTTTAAAAGAAATAATGCGCCGAGTAAATACATTTTCACCTGTGGACTAGTCGTATATCAATTATTTATCCAACACTATGAATCTAAGATGAAGCTTAATTTTTAATTGCTTGTTAATTAGATTGAAAAGTTTGCTCAATAGAATTTACGTATATCATTCTCTCTCTTTTTTCTTACGGCTATTCATAATTACTCGTCGTTCTTTCGTGCATATTGCTTAATTTTTGAAAAACAACTCTTTTTGCAGTCACTTAACGCGCACTACGACATGGGAAGACCCCCGCAAAACGGCTGCGGCTGCAAGTGTAGCGGCGGTAGCTGCTGCAGTCGAAAGCAGCAAGTCTACCGGAAACTCGCTCGGACCACTGCCCGATGGATGGGAACAAGCGCGTACAGCCGAGGGCGAGATTTATTTCATCAATCATCAGACCCGCACTACCTCGTGGTTCGATCCGCGAATCCGTAAGTTTCATTGAATTTCTCTTTCTTCCTTCAGTGCTGTAGAACAACCCCTTTTTTTTTTTTTTTAGTTATTATGTTGTTTTTACTTTCCTTCATGTATCACTAATGTGCCATTGTTTCTTTAGCGACGCACCTCCAGAGAACCCCGGCGTCCGGCGCGATGCTGCCGCAGAGCTGGCTCCAGCAATCCACCGGCGGCGGCATCCAGAGCAATCAAAGCCTACAGGCCTGTCAGCAAAAACTGCGTCTTCAGTCACTACAGTTGGAACGTGAACGCCTTAAGCAACGGCAACAAGAGATCATGCGCCAGGTTAGCATAATTGAAAGAGAAAGAGAATATTGCGTCGCGACATGGAGATTTAGATTGCGTAATGCGTGCGTAATCATCTTCGATATTTCATACGCGCGTCTCCACGTTGTTGCAGCAAGAGATGATGATGCGGCAGACCACAGACGCTGCCATGGATCCATTCTTGTCGGGCATTAACGAGCAACACGCGCGCCAGGAGAGCGCCGACAGCGGCCTGGGACTTAGTTCCGCTTACTCCCTTCCTCATACGCCGGAAGATTTCCTCGCCAATATGGATGATAACATGGACGGCACGAACGGTAAGAGGGCGTTTTTCGCGGAATTTTTTAGAAAATAAACTTTCTCATGCAAGATGAGCAGAATTCCGACAACTTTGACGACGCGATATCAATATTTATTTTTTAACAATTTTTTTCTAGCAGAAGCAACCTCTCAAAACACAGTTTTTAACTTTTGAATTAGATACATAATAAATAAATACGGAATTTGTATATAAATATATTTGTTATACTTAATTTATGTGTCTCTTATAAGTATTATCCGTATTTGAGTGCTGAAGATCGCAAAAATGCATGCAAGTGATCGTGATTCTTTTATTCATATTGAAAAATGTTAACAAGCATTATTGCGTTTTTCTTTTTTACTTCACCATTTAGCTCATATTTTGACCAATAACGCGAAAATAACCGTCGAGTTGCAATGACGCTTTGCAAAAATTTTCTTTTCTACCGTTTTTATATCGTGTCGTCAAAGTTATCAGAATTTCTCTACAAGTTGTCCTGAAATTGTCGCCATCACCACATTGATCAAAGAGCTAAGTTAAAAAAGTTATGGTTTGTTTGCTTTATTGTCAAGAAGTCAATTTTCGATCTATGAACAATTTTTTTGCGCGATTGTTCTGATTGCAGACAGGCACTGTGTCTTGAATGATCTTACGAAACGATTATACCGAAGCCATAAGTATATAAGTACATATTTGCAACAATATGAAATTGCGTTTGATCATACTTGGAATTTTTATTTATGATTTTTTCTTTTGCAGACGGAAGCGCGCCAATGGAGACACCTGATCTGTCAACTTTGAGCGACAACATCGATTCGACTGACGATCTTTTGCCGTCGCTTCAGGTGAGTCTCCAACACAACGACAGCTGTCTGACACTTGGCGTTCGGCGACATTTAAATGTCTCGCTACTCGCGTGTCGACGGGTTTTTAACTATTGAAATGTTAAATGTTAAGTTTTACGGAAAAGATATTATGTTTTCGTCAATTTTTAAAACCGGTTGTAATTTTGAGAATAAATATGAAAAACATGTAAATTATATACTAGGTATAGAAAATAATTCTTTCCGATTGATCTTACCGCAAAGCCGTCAAATTTTTATCGCAACAAGCTAGCCGAAAGATGACGAAAGATCATCGTCAGAAATAATGAAGACTATTTCAATGATTGAGCTCTTTTACATCTTGTTTGGATTTTACTAAAATCGGAAAAAATTTATTTCCGCATCTAATACATATAAAACACATAATATGAATATAAAGTGTATATAAAATATTAATATCTGTGGCAGAAGAATTAATTACATTTAAATGCCGTAATTCATTACCGTATATTATTATCACGATCGGACTCGATGTGTTAATCCATCGCGCTGTGCACACAGTTGTTTATATCCACAATTATTGACGTTTCAGCTGAGCGAGGATTTCAGCAGCGACATTTTGGACGACGTGCAATCACTCATAAATCCTAATACGACAAAACCAGAGAACGTGCTGACGTGGCTGTAGGACACACAGGTCATCCTCGTGGCGGATTTACGCAGTTCGCGTGATCGGCCCGGTAAATAGTACGTGCGTTGTCGATAATGTTCAATCAACATGACGCGGGGGATTCCTTTTAAGGAAATCGCAGCAATAACAAAGTTCGATTATTTCATAAGAGACACGCACGTTCGTTCACGACACAGTTTTCAAGCTTAGGTATACAAGTGGCCTTTAATCACGCGTCATGCTCACAATCTAGGCACTTATATATACATACATGTATGTGTGTGTGTGTATATATATATACATATGTACGTATGCAAGTATAAGGAGCCTCATTCTTCTGGCCTCCCTCTCTCTCTTTCGCTCTCTCTCTCTTTTGCTAAGATATAGGGTGCGAATGTGTGTTTGTGTGCGTGATGCGAATGTCCAAGCGTTTTGTATATAAGTTTATATTTCCTATATGCTGTCCGAGTAAAAAGAGAGGGAGAGAGAGGGGATGCAGAAATGGATATCTCGACAACAGCATTCAACGCGCTTGTCAAGAGAGAAGAAGAGAAATTTAAAATGCTTCTTAGCAACGTTGAGAATAAATAAATACGTTGTTGAGCTATTATATTGTGATTCCAGATGCCGGCGAAGACACATGTTAAATTTCTTCTTTTCTTTCTCCCATTAACAATTGAGCGCGTCGAATGTTGTTGTAACTCCGGATGCGATCTGATACCATGACGTATCAGTTTTTATGATTGCATCTCTCTCGCGAAACTATACGATCGCAACATCTTATGATATCATAATGCATCATGTGCTTATAGACTTTCGACCTACTTGTCGACGTGTTCTGAGAGGAGAATATCGTAAATGCGATTGATCGCAAATGTGTATTATGAGAGATCGTCAATTTTGACGAATACGGAAGTCTTCGTTAGAACAAATCCTGAGATATTTATACTTCCAGTTTGTAACTACATCTTTTAATAGTTTGCGTGCAAAATGACTTGCAAAAACTAATAGACAAGCTTTCGATTGATTGCAAAGAATATTTTAATCCGACATAATATTTAAATTTGAAAATTCTATATTTTGTATGCATATATAATAATTAGTAGTACGATGACAGTTGGATATTCTGCGCGAATTTCGGTTGTTTTTTTTTCGAAAGTTCGAATTATGTGAGATTATTATCTCCCGTTGCCAGACAACAACCAAACTTGCTCCTGACCCGGTGTACCTCGATTCCCAATTGTGTGAATCCCGCCAGACCGAAATTCGCGTAGAATGTCATCGTACTACTTGAAATCCGTTAATTTTAAAAAATGATTTATTAATTAACTACGCTGCGGGTCAACAAATTATTAGGATCAATAGATTCGGGATAAAACGCTTAATCTTACATGTAAATAATGCTAAAAATTTTCACAAATGCATAAATTAATTGTTTCTATTTTGGACCTTATCGTTTTTTGAACATTGATTCATTGTTAAGTTTTAAAACTTGTTTACTGTAGATGGAATCAATAGTTATAATACTAGATTCATCATTTTAAAGGCATTTTTAGATGCACGAATATTCAACATTATCATTGGAAATGGTGTTACAAACTTTTACGAAGCGTTACGAAGATATAGTTGCAATCTGGGAATGTAAATTGTGATTGACTAGCGAAGCTCTTTACATTACTATTTTGAGGAGAATTTTTGATCTTCGGAGATTATCTTTGAAGCGATCGGAGCGTTATGGAATTCTGATTGTACGGATGATTGTACAATCTGTTACTAAATGAAGAACGAGAAGTTTTTATTAGCGCGCAAGTGCTGGTCAGCGAAAACCGTAAGTCGTTATATTAATTTACTATGAAGATATTTTGCTCTTTATAAGCGTGCGAAAGGATTTCATTACGAGTTCAATCGATTAAAATTCCACAATCTAGTTGAGAATAAGAATGTTGTTAATATGCAAAGATTGTGACAAGTTCTTTGAAATGCTAATTTTGAGACATATTATAGGTTGCAGCGGAATATTTGCGGTGTACCTTTTTACAAGCGACATGTTTATAAAGAGCGACGTGCCTTTACAACGAATTAATAGAAGGGCTCAACAATCGTCGTTTTTCAAAGCAATAACCGTCCATACAAAATGCTTATGTCAATCGTAATTATTAAAAATAGGCGACATTTTTGACCCTCGGCTGAATATCTCTAAGGGGGGTAAATATAAAATCAGAATATATATATATATATACTGTACACATATATATATATATTTTTTTAAATATATATATATATTTTTTTTATATGTAAAGTCTATACTTGTTACGAATTGCAGTTACATCGGTATTTTTCGAGAAATCATATTAGATTGTACATTTATCTTACGTTTTATACTATTATGCAGTTATACAGTGGAGGTTGCAAGAGTCAACAGATTATACAATATTTACTGGTTTACCTAAATATTTCTTAGCCATAGGGATTTCTCTCACGTTTCATCCCTTTATTGGTACAATGGTGCTGGCGTGACGAGAGGAAAAAAAAACCGTCGAATGCCGAATTTTTTTGTTTTGCGGATTAACTCGGCCTATTTATTACCGAAGAATCAGAATAATCTCGGTAAAGAAGATAACGCACGTATACATGCAATTACATGTGGCAGCTTAGAGCGTACAGGCTCACGCAAAGGCGTGAAAGTTTTTAGCGACTGTTTCCGTGCGGACGATAATATTCAATAACGGCCATTAATTTATCATTGTTTAACGAAGATTGACGTAACCGACAATAAATATTAATGTGCGCAGACTGTACATGAAAAATAATTATGTCAATTAGATATGAATATTGATCTTTGTTGAAAGGAACAGTTTAATACGTGCGATATTTGCGAGTTTGTCGCGAGAACAGTCGAAACAGTCGCGCAAATTTCCGACCTTCGTATGTTTAAGGACTTCGGTAATCTTATCGTGTAAACTTTTTGTAATGTCGGTTCTCCCGTCTTTTCTCGGCAGTTGAGAAAAGCCTTGGAGAAACGAAGGGGAAACTTTCGTTTCGTTATTCGCACGCTCCTGCGTTGATGTCTCTTCGTTTCAACTGGTTGGTCGTGTGAATGCCGAACTCTCGATCTCTTTAATCCTTTTTTTTCTTTTAAGATAGTGAAAAACGAAACTGATCGTGTAAACGTTGATTTGATATTGTGTCACTATATCTGTATTTTTTTGGGCTGAAACTCTGGAAGGCAGGACGTCGTGCGTCGAGCATGAGGAATATAAACTTTCTCATTTTATATAAGCAATTACGTTTGGGTATCGGTTTTTCATCCATATTGATTGATTTGAAAATTGCAATCGAAACATTTTTAATGTATTTTATCAGAGAATAGGAATAGGAACACGCGCTTTGAATTTTATTCAGTTTTGAGTTTCTCTTTTACTCGTTTTCTTTTATTTCCTAATTTCTAATTTTATTCAGCCGCTTTTTATTTTTGTTTTATTCGAATTCACCATGCATTCGCGCCGACGTCCTTCCCAATCGACGTTACCATCGAGTCGAGTAAATTTTCTCTTTGGCGTCACGTGCGTCGATTCGATCGACCGTCTTCCAGGAGCGTCAGATCAAGCGCGTTTAATATATGTATTATTTTAATTGCAATTTAACGATATTTCTATTAATGTTTACAATACTGTATCTTGCTTTTAATCTAAACTCAGTCTAGATTATGTTTCGGGGAGCATTGCGACATGAAAGAACTTACGTAAACGTCTTCACGCGGAAGACATCCTTCAAACAAAAGAACACAAGTGCCTCGATCTACGTCAACCTAAAGCGTAGAATAGATTTTTTAATCGAGACTCCCCGCTTAGGCTGCGCATTCGCATCCATAATATTTGAGATTATATACAAGAATAGAGAGCAATTAGTTGTTTAATATCAGTATTTAAATATGCTCATTGGCAGAATAATTTGTGACGAAAGTTTTTATATCGATAACAAGTGCCTTAGTAATAAACGATAACAATAAATGTATTATTTACTTATGTATTGACAAGCTGCGTGTTTCCTTTTCTCTTTTGACATTATTGCATATATATATATCGATACCTTAAATCCAAAACCTCTTATCTCGAATTTTTTACCAATTTGACTTTTTATTATGATAGTATTTTTATGCATCAAATTTTTTGAAATAATCCCAAAGAAAACTTACTTATTAATAGCTTAAAATTATTTTAAATTCAAAGTTTGACAAATTAATTGGGATATGCTATAAGCAGTTTTTAATGTCTCCTGTAAAATTAAATTTTTTTAGTTATGATTTTGGATTTGAAGGTATCGATATGTACGTGTGTGCGCGACCGCGCATATGTCACATATAAATGATAGGCTAATGTTTGCCAGATAAGTTCAATATTATCAATTTTATAAAATAAACGTGTGATTTTCTTAATTTTTTTTATCGCGTAAAGAAGATAATTTATGTTTTATTACAATAGTTATGTTACAGTCATTCTTAAAAATAGTTTAGCATGGCTCATAATTCAAAAAACGAACAAAGCATTGTCACAGCTTGGACACCGGATTTGTTCGGTCCTATTTTTAAGAAGGAAAGTTTGACATTAAAAGAGGTTAGATAGAAATTACTTATGAAGTGATATTTTTTCTCAATTACGTGCTTTTATAAGTAATTAACTTTATATAACAATCGTAATTTGGTTTTAGGTATTGAATTTGCGCAATGTAGATGAACAGATTCATCTTATGGCGACTTTTGTCCCTGACGAGCTAATATACAAAACTGATCTGTTGGAGAAAAGTTTTCATAGTTTTCAAGCTACTTTAATGTATTTAAATATTCCGGGTTAGTTGTAATATCCTCAGGAAAATTTTGAACATCCTTTTGCCACGAAATAAACTGAAATATTTTTTTAATACCGTACAATTAATAACAGATTTCTTATCGTTGTTTAAAAAATACTTTTATGGCAAAAACGGAGGAAGTCTAGACTTAACTGCATTGTTAAATAATTACATCCACATCATGGTCAACCAGATATACTGCAGTGATGGAGATGTACTGAAGTTTTCAGGTAAGAATGATTAGGAAATATATAGATTGAATCTTTATATTCTCGAAGTTCTTTATTTTTCCGGGACTTATTTTTCGCGCGATTAAAAAATTCTCTATTCTTTCCTTCTCCTCTTACGTTGTAACTTGCATTACATCAACTTTCCTAACTATGTGATTATATTTATTTCTTTCTTTATAAAAATTTATATTAAAGTGAATAATAAATCGAAAACAGTTGACGGGATATTAGCGATGTGGAAAGTACACGATGGCGAATTCATGTTTAATGTTGTGCAAAAAGTAATCGTACATGCGATGGATATACAAAACTGTATAGCAGCTTTGAAAAAGGATCATGAAACTTCTAAAGGTATTTATTACAACAATTCAAAATATTAATTCAAGTAAAATAAAATTTTCAACAAATAAACTGAAATAAAACTACATGATTAAACTTGAAACTGAACTTGTAGTAAGTTTAAAGGAAATAAATACATTTTATTTAATCTTTTATATATAAAGAGTAGACTCTTACACATAAAAAAATATATATCTTATTTTAACATTATCACAAATTTTTTAACAGTGAACATAACGATTTCGGCTGGAGAAGTAATGTTCTCCATAATTGGTAGCGAGGAAACTCGTCATTTTGTGATGTCTGGTTTGCCGATTGAAGAGTTAAAACATGCCAAGAAAATTTCCATGCCAGGTGATTTGGTATTATCATTGAGCGCATGGCAACATTGTTCACCGAGTCAATACGAATATGTCATCAAAGACGCAAATAACATCAAGGTACAATTTAGTTACAATTCTTTAGTTTAGTTTTTTATTGCAGAAAGTAACATTTAGTAGCTTACTGGCCATTGCTTATTCATCACGTGTATTCATATCGAAGAAAGATTAAGAATTGAAAATTCAATTATTTACATTCGACATTTATGTTTATTGAAATTTCTCAATTTCTACATAATAAAATTCAATTCTAGATATTAAAACTGTTAAAACTGTCGGAGACAAAATTAATTACACCGATGTCCTTAAATGACTCAGTTGACAATCAGGTTCACATTAATTCAGATCATAAAACATTTATAAACAGAAAACTTGTAACAAATTCTATCAAACCATCAATATTTGATAGGAAACGCGCACTATCTATTAATAGCAAAGCGTATTCCGAAATATCATTTGCTAAAAAAGTGCAACAGCAAGTTCCTACAGGTAAAATAAACGTACGGTTTGTTTCATATCTCACTAATTTATTCGTTTTTTATATTGTTCGAAACGATATAAAAATATGCTGTTCTACATGAAATATATCCAACAGCAATTTCTACGATAGCAGCGACGAATCCGAATTTTGGCACATTGTTAAAAAGCTACTTGATAAAACCCGTGGTCCAGCAGGTACTGTTTGTCGTAAACTATCATATTTTACTTGTGATAGAAAAGAATCTATGAACTGTATTTTAGAATTATTTGATAAATAGTTTTTATTTCTCATAGATTGAAAAGAATGAATCATTAAAACATTTGGCGGATGTCAGACGAATTACCGTAATGTTTCTCGATATTATTCCCAATAAATGTTCCGAGAATGAATTAATCCGTTTGACCGATAAATGCTTTCTACTTTTGCACAGGTATATCGCTGATGTCAATTACAGCTAACAAATATTATTCTAAAAATTATTATTGCATCTGTGATTATGATAAATTGCAAATAGCATTAATTTTACTTTGAAAGTAATTTTATATTTAACTTGTATATAAAAGTGAAAAGATTTGTGAGATAATATATATCTTAAACATTTATCGTTTTACTTCTAATTAACATATTGCTGTTTTTAGCAATTAAAATTATCATATTGTTTGGCATGATAACAGAATGACTTTTTATAATATTTATATAGCATAGTCACGCAATATGCAGGTTGCATTAATATGGTAAACCTGCACGATAGCAATATCTTTTTCTCCATCGTATTTGGAATACATCAATCTAACGATGAAGATCAATTTAAGATCGATGAAACTTGTAAAAACGGAATTATTTGCGCGATGCATGTACTGCAAGCAGTAAGAAATATTGTTGGAATTCGAAGCGCATTTGTCGGCGTTTCGACAGGTATATAATACATACATAAATGACCTTCTGTTATAAATCTATTATATCTTACATTGAATTATGTAAAGGATCTCTCTGAAAAGAATTACGATTGTCATAAAAGTACTTTATTTATGTTAAGAATTTCAAAAACGTAATTCTCAACCTATAACTCATTCGTTGTGTTTCAATATCACAATAACAATATATATGTGATAATTACGTATCCACTTTGTCAACTTAATTTTAGGAATGGCTTACTGTGGCGTGATCGGACACATCGCTAGAAAATATTATGCGATTATCGGACCACCTGTGAATAAAGCCATCAAATTAATGGATATTTCTTACAATAAGGTAATTAGCAGCTTGATTATTATTACATATCTATATTTAAATTAAATTACGATTTGTTCAAGATACTCATAATTATCTTGCCTTATAAAATTTTGTTTATTAAAAATAATTTTTATAACACTTTGAAGTATTTATAATAAATTTAGCGATATACACGGTATGTTTGAAAAATAACAAAGTTGACACTATGTCAATTTAAACACTGATCTTTCTTTTGACATAACTTATGTTTAAAATTATTCGTATCACTCAAAGCATATCTCTTCAGCATCAGTACAGCATTGAGTTCGGTCGATCAATGCCTGAATTACAATTTTATAGACGAATAAAAACGTAATTATGTTAATTGTGGCAATATAAATATTTCTTCACATATTTATGATTAAAATCACAATTGTTACTACAAAATTTTTGCAGATTTCTTGTGACTATGATACGGTGTTGCATAGCCATTTGAACAAGAATCAATTTCGCTCTAGAGGCATGAGAACATGGAATCAATTGGAAAAATATCACGTCTACGAATATCTTGGCGATATGCCGTGAGTATTTTGATTTGTCTTTTTCATTTTCTAATCACATTATGTTGATAATCGCATCCGGTGGCTTACGTTCGGTGTGGTGTAGCCGGAATGCTGTGGACGTGCACGAGAGTGTTTATTCGAGATTTGGCTGCGGAAAAAGTTTTCATCAGTTTTCTTCAGAGAGTGATTGACTTGTGTGTGTGTGTGTGTGTGTGTGTGTGTGTGTGTGTGTGTGTGTGTGTGTGTGTGTGTGTGTGTGTGTGTGTGTGTGAATGACAGTCATCTATTTTAATTTAAAAATTTAATAATTCTATCAATTTGACTTACTTTTCGATCTTCAATCGTCGGGTATGTAAATTATGTATTTCGTTCACTTATGATGGTCGACTAGGATAAGAAAAGATTTCGACGCAACCTTGTCACTGGACTACTGTTATCCTATTTTGGGTAGGATGCAAGAATTGGAATGCTTTAACGATATTTTAGACGAAATTGGAGTAGCAAATCGGCATTATTCTGGATTGTTAATCGAGGTTTGATCCTTCGAATTCATATAATGTAGTCATTATCAACGATTTATAATAATTAATTGCTCTAATGTATAATTTTATGATAGTATAATTATCAAAAATCATAGTATCTTTCCATATAAATATAATTTTATTGTTTTAAAAACAATAAATTCTAATTTCTACAACTTTATTGTTTCATATGGCTGCACTTATTATTACATTTGTTTTGCCTTATAAAATTAATTGTTTGTTTAGGGTAGAGAAAGATCAGGAAAATCAAGACTTTTAGATTCTTTTGCCATGAGTGTTTGTAACAGACAAATACAACTAATCAAACTTTCCCTTCATGTGACATATGCGGACAAGGCTTATGCAGTTATATATCACATTATTCTGCAGGCACGAAATGTTTGATTTATTTTTTAATCAGTAAACTTGTAAAAATGGGGATAAAAAATTAATAGGAATTTTTTCTTTAAACTTACATAAATTTTTAATTTTTGAAATATATTTAAATATTTGTCTACATTTTTTATACTATTTATCTTAATTTTTCAATTTATTTAAATATTAAAATCGTTTAATGTTAGTATATGCAAAATTTAAAAAAATCAAATATCCTCCGATTTTTAAAATAAGAGATCCAATTTTTGTAATCACAATAAATCTTCATGAATTTTTAAATTCTATTTAGTGTTTTGCGACAGAGAGATAAATTATTTCATCAATCAATAATATCAAACCTCTGTCAAATCAATAAATCAAATTTTCTCATCGTAGCTATTTCAAGCCGATGATAGTGACACGGTCGAAGAACGTCAAAAAGCATTACTTCTCAAATTAGGCGATGTTCTTGCTTTAGAAGACTTCTGCTATCTTAATACCTTGCTGAGAGTTCGTTTTCCACTTTCTCACACCTACTGCTCGGACTCTGAGTGGCAACGTCACGTGAAAACTATTAATATTTTCAAAACAATACTCAAGCAGGTAATACCATTATATATTGTTATTATCTCAAATTAACGAGATTTAAGATGTTGTCTTTAAACGATTTATGCCTCGAAACATAATTATTTATTATAGCTGAAAACTAAAATCTGTATTTTGCTCGACGACGTTCAGCATATAGACTATACATCCTGGCAATTTTTGTCATCCGCTCTTGACAATGATAATGTCATGGTGGCGATGACGATGTTAAAGATAAATTCCGGGGAAGATTTATCTCAGGCAAAAACGGACATTTGCAAAGACAGTAGGATAAAGCAACGTATATTGCTCGGCCTTAATGTAGATCTGCTTCCGGCACTCACGTGTCAGTTTTTAAATGTTCTCGCTATACCCAGAACATTAAGCAGGTACTGCTACCTCTTGTTTTTATACAGCTAACGTGCTACGATAATACATTATATTTGCAGTTTGGAATTTTGCGTTAGAGTGTAAGCAAAATTTGGAATTAATTCAGTGTAGCTTCGAAGTTTCCTTAAATGAGAATACAATTTTTGTTAGGGTTTTACAGAAACGTAAAGACGGTTACATTGGATGGTGCGAGTTGTACTTAACGTTACTTCTTCAGAATAACAGTTTGGCTTTCATCGAGATATCGCCTAACGAGGCGAAACAGCACGATCTCATTTTTCCAGACGCCTCTTTGGTAACGAAGCTGCCGATTGATTTAACACCGGAAGAACTTGCGCCACCTTCCACCTGGTCACAGATGAGCCATTTGAACGTCTGTGTCATGAGCGGCAATTATTTCAAAATGTTCGACACAAATCGCAGTCTAAAAGGCAAATTTTGGCATCTCGTTGACACGTTAATGGAACACATACTTACATGCAGCGCTAGTTCTTGAGAAATTTCATCTCATTACTTTTCTCAGACACCTCGCGGCTTTTGCAATCGTGGCGAACATGTGAAATAAGTCTTCTATTTAATTTTGTAATCGAAAATTTTATTTGATACAGAATTGGTAAGGGAAATCTACAACGGAATGAATCCGTATGAGCAAAGTTTAATTACTTGTGCTGCTACATTAGGCTTGGTATTTAAGCGAAATGCGCTACAAAATGTAATGCTCAATGAAATTCCACCGCACACCACTAACGGTGAATTTTTCAAAGTGATTTTAATTACATATAGCTTGAATTGCACATTGTATAAATTTTATATAAATTTGCAGCCATTTCACAGATGTTCCGAATACGTATATTAGAATGCGCTGCACTTCAGCGACGAGACTTTCGCACTGACATTCTTATCTTTTGTATAGATAAGAAGCGAAGCACGTTTTCTGATATGCACCATTTGCAGTTTTGCCATTGCAATCTTTCACAACGTCAGTTTAACTAAAAATTAATATTTAACATATCTTAAAAAAAAGGCATTTTATAAAATTATTAGCAAAAAAGCCGAGTGGATATTGTAAAAAAATTACGAAAACGGAAAGAAATTGCAATAAAATTAGAGCTGAGATTTAGCTTACAGTCGATTTTCTAAATAATCGCTCATTGTTAACACTACATTTTTATTTTAGAATCTGCTCCTGGTCAATGTAAGATATTGGAGTTCAAATATACTTTATTTTACAACTTAATATATGACATGCAATCAAATGAGGAAAGGAAAGAGCATCACGCGAGAGCAGTTAGAATATACAGCCGGGATGCTCAAAAATGCAATTGCTGCGATGGCGGTAGATTTTTGAGAATTCCCAGCAAGGATATAATAGTGGAGGTTAAATAATTATGAAGAACAATTAAAATGTCCAAAATATTTTCACGAAAAGATTAAACATCTTTTGATTGATTAATTTTTTTAAATAAATTCAACAATAACAAAAGATTTATTTAGATCTGGCGAATTTGAATCTTTATTGACATTTGCGACAAGAAAAAGAAGAAAGGATGAGAGAGAGAGAGATAAGATATTTTTTTTTTCAGAAAGAAGATAGCGTAGAAATTTCCCAAATATCAATGGGTCGTAAGCGAACATATATCGGAGATCAAAATGATAAATCGAGTAAAAGACGAAGTATATTTTTTGCGAGAAGAATTGTCGCGGCGAAGAAACAAGAACCTACTGTTACTCGTAGAGTATCCATCATGCCAACACATCTGGATAACGCAGAAGAAAAAGGTTGCGCAGCACGCTATCATAATCCATTTACTGCTTCAAAATTCATCATTTTATTATATATTTTTACAATAGTTTCGAAAAATCAAGGAAGTAAAGAAAGCATAACAAGTGAGTCGCTAAAATTTTGGAAACGACAAACGAGCATTGCTCCGAAAGCGACGGAAGAACCTTTAAGTCATTTAGAAGAATTTAGCCACATCGATTATCGTGATTGTCAATGCGACAGTATCATTAGTTATCTTTTTTGGAAATTGCACAAGCATATTGAGCAGAGTGGTAAAATTATAAGTTTTATTACTGTGAATTAAAATACGAAGATAGAAAATACAAACGCAATAAAACAAAAAGAAAAATTTATTACAGAATTGGGAAGAAACATTATTAATATATACATTTCTCAATATTATCATTATAAAAGAAACAGATCTTGAGATGATCTTTGTAGAAAAGTAACTAAATGTATATATTAAGAATATTTTTACTTGATTTTGTAATAAATAAATATTTTCCTTCAATTTATATTGCATTTGTATCTTTAATTTCTAGACTACCGTCGTATTATTCACTTTTAGACATAATTCTATGCCAGGAAACACGCTATAATTATGAATATTGATTTAGGAGATACTGATGAAGTGATTAATTTTCTTTTGGAGTACAGTAGCGGACTGATACAAACTGCGCAATCACTTTACGCCGTCAAACTTCTTTTAATTGCCGCTGAAAAAAACGAGGCTGCCGAAACGAGCGCGCGAATAGGTGATCACGAGAACATTATCACGAATAAAGGAATCATTCTAGCTCTAACAGGTATATATTTGCAGATTATTTCGTATTGTTTATTTCTAGAGCGCAAAGGAGTTTCTGAAATTTTATATAAGCAAGTTTATATAAGAAGTTTTAGTTGATATGCATTTGTTTTGACGTATTTTCTTCAATTTAAACCATACTTTTTTCTTTATTCCGCTATTGAAATTATCAGAACAACAATGTATCTCTTGGATAAATAAATAAGTTTTTGTTTTATTTTTCTTTTCTTCTCTCTCCCTCTTCTTGTTGTTCGATTCACGCATTGTATTTTGATACACGGGCATTGGAATTTTGATCAATAATAAAGTTTGAAATTTAAGCTGGAATGCGTGACGTCATATTTTGATACTGTGACTGAGAAATTTCAATCTTCGCGAGTGAGGAAAATTGCGAAGTAGTATAAATAGGAAAGATAACTCCGAGGTCAGTGTTGGTCAGTATGTTGGTTGTCAGGTTGTCGAACGGACGCGAATGTACGCTATTGGGAGATTGCTTGATGGATTTTGTACATGTGTGTGATGTATGTGTGTTATAATATTAAATATATTTTACTTTATGCTATCGATTGGATAGACAGTGATTTTTGTATGTAAATCAGTTAATGTTGAGCGTTTGGATGTCTAAATGTGAGTGATTTGTTGTATGTATGTGTGTGTGTTATTTTAAATTAATAGTGCGCGCGACACACATTCACACAAACAAGAAAATTATTCACATTCAGACACACAATATTAATCGATCCACGCCGAAGAACAAATATATTTAATATTGCAGCAATTATATTTTGTATCTCTTTTCTTTCATTCGACATTTGGAATGTCGTTATTATATCGTTAAGAATTAATCATATCTTTTTCAGGCGATGCATACAGTGAACTGGGAAATTACGCGGAGGCTAAAAAGTGTTATACAGAGGCAATGAAATTGCGAGGTACTCCACCCAAAACGAACAAAGCCGCCTGTTATAACATAAAATTGAAAATGTATTACAGATTGCAAAATCTTCCTCGTTATACGGTTAATAATAGGCCGAGACAACTCGCTGTGAAAAATTTGGAACTTGCGTCATACATGCGGCGAGTTTGCGTTATGTACCTGGTAAATTTATTCGATCGATTTAGTAGATTAATAACGTAATTTATCAGATTGATTCAGAAAATGTGTCGTCTTTGTATAGTAAGACAAAAAAATCCAAATAAAGATACATATTACATAATTTTCAAGTATTTTTCTTAATAAAAAAGACGGCAGATTATTTGCATCAATACAGAGTATTTCATATTACACTATTTTATTTATGTATTTCTTTATCTTTTTAAAATATACTTTTTTTTAAATATAAGCCAAAAGATTAATAAATAATGTTTGAATTATAAATGCTTTTACTTCCTTTGAAAGCAATTGAGTTTCACAACAAAACAAGATAATTTTTTTCTCGGTACAATTTTAAATGGATTTTATCTAAACGTAATTTTAATTAAATATGAATTACAGAGACATTCAATATATCCAAAATTATTGACTAAGTATTGATAAAATTTTAAGATAAATCGAGATACGATAAATTCCATAATTTGTAGATGGAAGACAAATTAAAGATAGCGCAGTTATTTGCCTTGAGAAGTTTCAAGCTCGCATTTTTATATTTCGACAGTTTTCTAGAGAAAGGCAAAATATATCTCGTGACGGTTCGAGTGTTGCATCGTACTAAAAATATTAAGTTGATACGACATATTGAGAGATCGATGCTGACTGTAATAAACAAAAAATTCAACTGGAATGACGTTGAAGAACTAGTAATGGTGGCCAATATCTATCTAACAATGTATCAAATTAGGTATAATTTAACGCTTCAAAATTTGTACAAAAAATCGTATTCTGACTTAATCTATCTGAATACGTGAAAACAGAGCATTAAGAGGTGAATTAGAAGAAGCTGTAGATATGGGCGTCAAAGTGCTGAAAATATGCGGAGCGTTCCATCATGATAAAGTGATGCTAAATATTATGCCGTCGTTAATTCAGATAATGGTATTGTTTTAAATTTTAACATAAATTAAATTATATAAAGTAATTTAAATATTGATTTATATTAATTAATCAATCTTTTATGTCGATTAGTATATGCTTTTCCGTTTTATACT